AGGAGAAAGGAGTGGGATTAAAAACCATTAACTCAGTTGGAGAGTAGGATCCAAACCTTAGGATGAAAAGCAGCGTTTGGGAGCAAAAGTCACCCTAGTCTTGTCTAGAGACAACTTTGTGAAAGATGGGTGTATCGATAAAGTGTGAAGTTCAAGTGTCTGGGCATGTTGTCGCTGAGTGATGGTAGAACGGAGCAGGAGGTGGACTGACGGATCAAGGCCTCATTCTCAGTCGATCGTGGTGAAGAAAGAGTTGAGTCAAAAGGCAACACTCTGGATTTACTCAATAACCCTAACCTCAGGTCGGACACTAGATGCCGCTCTTCCTCCAGTTTTACCACAGTCTGAGATTTGTTGCCTCTGCCTGCAGGAGAGGCTGTTTGTTTTCCAGCAACAACCACAAACACTTATTAACCTCATTCATCTCCGTGGTTGCTGGTTTGTTTTTAATTTTAAGTTCCTTTTTTGCACGTGCACAAATGTCAGAGGGGTTAGCGGGTGTTCCTGTGGGAGAGCACAGTAAAGTGCAGGTGTGAGTTTGAAATTTAGCAGCTGAATGAAGCCTGAAACTTTAGAGATGTCTCAGCAGAGATCAGATGTTCTGAACATGTCTGCAGCTTCCGGTGTCGCTGGGTATTTTCCTCCCTCCCAATTTCAGCGCTTCTGCTTTTCACCAAAGTGCCTTTACGCACAGAGAGAAGAGTCCTCCCGGGTCTGACTGGATCCAGGTCTGATGTTGAAGGATGATCCTGCTGCTTGGTCTGCTCTGGTCCTTCAGGACAGAACCAGTCCTGTGTCTGGAGGAAGACGGAGATTTGAGCCTGGATAGAGACATCCGTCACTTCACAGTGACCACCGACTCTCTCTACATCTCCACAGAGGAGAAGCTGTACCAGCTGAGCCTCAACCTGGCTCCAGTCTGGACTTTGACCCAGAGAGGGGTTCTGATGGGTGGTGACCAGATGGACCAGCAGGACTTTCAGTGGGTCTCTGAGGGGAAGTCAACTTTCATCGTCAACATGTTGCTTCCATTTGTCAGGGACAAATCAGTGATCAGCTGCGGAGTGATTGATGATGATTGTGGTTTCTGTGAGCTGCTGGACCTGAAGAACATCTCTAAGGTTCTGCATATAGAACCCATCCTGGTGGGACCCCTGAGGCGCAGCAGCGCGTCTGTTGGCTTCCTGGTGGACGTGGAGAAACCTCCAAAGACAGAGACTTTTATCCTGACTGCGATCCAACAAGACAGCGAGGACACCAAGAAGTCTGGTTCTGATAATGAGATGATAAACCTCCATAATGCAGATAAAGCAGCGTTCAGAGGAATATTTTCTAGATCTGATCCATCAGGAACCACACCTGGGATCAAGAGTGATTTTAATGTGACATTTGTGGATGGATTCCAGATCAGTTCAACAGTTTATCTGTTCTCCAACGTGGCAGTTATTAATATTATTAAATATTTTCTGCTGATCAAAGTTGAGCTTTGTAGGGCTCAGACCTCATGATCACCATAAAAGTTGTAAACTTTAAGGCTCGAGTGTTGCACCACTGCTGAGAAATGATCAAGACAAACTTTAGTTAGTAAGTTTTATCTTCAGACGGAGTGAATAAATGTTAGATCTGACGCTTTTTATCTTTCTGTCTCCCAGTCGAACCCAAAGGTGCTGAAAGCGAAGGCGCTGCTCCTCAAGAAGAACTACATGAGCTCTGTGCTGGTGGTGAGGAAGAGGAGCTGGCTGGTTTTCTTCATCGGAACCACAGACGGGCAGTTCATCAAGGTTTGTCCCAAAGTTTAACAAGTCTGTAGGCGAAGAGAGAACTGCCTTTTAAGTAAAGGCTAAAAATATATGGCTAAACTGTAGCCTTTTAGCTTTTTTCCTCCTTTCTGCTATTTGTATCCCTACAACTGTAAGTAATGATGACTTCCTGAGATTCTTTATAAATAAAATTATTTCATGTAGGGAGAAAATTCAAACCATCCTTCCTACTATCGCCTCTTGTCCCCTGTTAGATGAGGCAGCTTTTAAAATGTCACTAGAACCTGATTTATGTTTGGACTGAATTATCAAAAATAATAACTTCATCCAAACCATCCATGTGTCTTCTAGATCCAATCCCTGTCAAGCTAAAGAGGTATTTCCCTTAATTAATAACTGCGTCTTGGATCTGCTTAATTGGTCTCTAATGAACGGTCACATACCAAAGTGCTTTAAGATTGCTGTAATTAAATCTTTAATTATAGACCTATATCCAGTCTTTCATCTAAAAAATTCTAGAGAAAATAGTTGCAGGTCAGTGACGTATTCATCTGCAAAGAAATAATCTGTTTGAAGAGTTTCAGTCAGGGTTAAGAGCTCACCACAGCACTGAATCTACACTGGTGAAATTTACTAATGATATTCTCATGGCCTCTGACAATGGACTTGTGTCTACACTGGTCCTGTTAGACCTCAGTGCTGCATTTGATACAGTTGATCATAATATTTTACTACAGAGACTTGACTGTGATATTGGAATTACAGGAACGGCTCCAAATTGGTTTAAATCATATCTATCTGATAGATTCCAATTTGCAAATGTAAATAATAAATCTTCATCATACACCAAATTTAGTCATGGAGTTCCTCAGGATTCAGTGCTTGGACCAATACTCTTTACCTTGTATATACTTCCATTAGTTAATGTTATTTAACAGCATGGGATACATTTTCATTGTTATGCTGATGATACACAATTATATTTGTCCATGAAACCCAATGAATCCAATCAGCTACTTAGATTACAAGCATGTCTTAAAGACATAAAAACCTGGAGGACCCTAAATTTTCTGCTTTTGAACCCTGACAAGACTGAGGTTTGGATTTTTGGACCTGAGCACCTTAGGAATTATTATTTTTTTCAGTCTTTCTTCCTCCTTAGATGGCATTAGTCTGTCCTCCAGTTCTAATGTTAAAAATCTTGGTGTTATTTTTGATCAGGACATGTCTTTTATCCCCCACATTAAAAACGTTACTAGAACCACCTTCTTCCACCTGCGTAGTATCACTACAATTATGAGGATGAGGAGCGAAACGTCTTCTGTTACAAATAAAGTCCAGTTGTTTTTGTATTGAACGCTTTTTGAAATCATCATGTCCTGGATGACTGAGAATCTTCACCAGCATATCACTAAAATTACAAACATCTTATCTAAAAATGATGCAGAAAAACTGGTCCATGCATTTGGCATGTCTACACTGGTCTATTGCAATGCTTTATTATCTGGGTGTCCAAATACTTCCGTAAAACGTCTTCAGTTGATCCAAAATGCTGCTGCCAGAGTCTTAACTATAAGATTTAGCAAAAAGGAAAGTCTTCAAACTGGACAATGTGTCAGCCTCACGGACAGAAACTGGAAGTAGTTTCCACAAGAGAGGAGCCTGATAACTGAAAGATCTGCCTCCCATTCTGCTTTTGGAAACTCTGGGAACCGCAAGTAAACCTGCAGTCTAAGAGCAAAGTGCTCTGTTAGGAAAATATGGAACAATAAGATCTGTAATATAAGAAGGAGCTAGGTTGTTGAGGGCTTTGTAGGTTAGAAGTAAGATTTTGAATTCAATTCTGGATTTGACAGGGAGCCAATGGAGAGAAGCTAAAACTGGAGAAATATGATCTCTCCCACTAACTGTCCAAAGGTGCTCTACAGGGCCAGTGGAGACCAGGACCTGTTTCCTAAAACCCATCTGGACCCAGTGGATCAGAAACACGTTTATGTGCCGTTTCAAAACCAGGTCGTTAGTTTTTCTCTACATTTCTGACCACCTGAAGGCGTTTCTGAAGTCTTTGTGTTTCGTTTCAGATTTGGCGTGTTCCAGTGTCCGAGTGCAGCAGGAGCAGGAACCTGAGAGAGTGCTGGTCTGCTCAGGACCCGTTCTGTGTGTGGTGCGTCTATCAGAACAGGTGAGAGGAGCTTCACCTGCAGATGGTCTGCCATGACTTCCTGACGTGTTTTAACGTCTCTCAGTTGCACGTTTGAAGACGACTGCAAAGCTTCAGAGTGGCTGTCTGTCCCTGAGGAGTCCCACAACAAAATGGTTTCTCACAGAGTGGTGAAGGATCCGAGTGGAGAGGTGACTTTTTAACTCTCCTCCGACTCCGAGACGTTCGGAGAGTTCCTGTTTTTCTTCTTTTCCTTCATTTTCCAGATGAAACTCATCATCCGGACCCACCTGAGCGTGGAGCCGAGTGTTCAGTCCAACTTCGCCTGTCACTTCCCCTTAACTCCTGCTCAGCTTTGTAGAACAACTGGACCTCCACCACATTACCCACAATGCACCTGCATCCTGTCTGACATGCTGACGGTCAGCAGCTTAAAATTAATGATGGACGTGTTCTCTGCAGCAAAATCCTTTACTTCCTGTTTGACAGAAAATGTTACGCTTTAATCAGGAGAAATACGAATAAATAAAACGCAGCAGCTTTAAACGTTCAGCTGCACAAAAAACTGAAAACTAGAGAAATTACATTTCCTGTGAGAATGCAAGTGTGATTGTTTATTGCTGAAGAACTTGCAGAAAAAACAGTTGAAATTAGTAAAGAAACAGCTGAAAATAGCAAACAGTAGTTGAAAAGTAGTTGAAAAAGCATAAATAAATTTAAACTAGCAGAAAAAGATGAAAGTAGCAGAAATTACCATGAAAAACTTGAATTTATCTGAAAACGGCTGAAATGAGCTAAGAAATGCTAAAAAGGTAGCTGAAACATTAGAACAAGTTGAACGTAGCAGAAGAAAGGAGAAAGAACACGTTTGTCCAATTAGGCTGAAAGAAGCAGAAATAAGCACGAAAAGTGGAAATGATCTGAATAAAGCTGAAATTTGCAACAAATAAACAACAGCTGAATAGTAGCTAAAAAGTTGAAAGAAGCTTAAATTAACAACAGGAAGTAGAGAGAGCACAATGTTACTGAATTATGATGAAAAAAGTTTAAATTAGTGCAAAAAATCTGGAATTAGCTGAAAAAGCTCAAATTAGCATAAAAACAGCTAAATAGTAGCTGAAATTGCAGCAAAAACTGAAATTTGCATAAATTAGCTGAAAGAAGTTAGAAGAAGCACAAAATGTTGTAGTTAGCCGAAATAATCTGAAAGGATCAGAAACCGCTGAAAATAGCTGAAAAAGTTTAAATTTTGCAGAAGGAAGCAGTCGTGTGAATGTTTAATAAGCATTAAAAAAAAACATTTAGGTCTTTCTGAGCAGCTTCGTGAAGTCAAACCACTTCACTGAAATCTAAAAACCTTTGTCAGTAAATTGTTTTGTAACTTGAGAGGAAATTATTCATCATTTTAGGAGCATTTAAAGCCGTGTTTAATCCTGATGCTGCAACATGTTCAAGTATTTCTCTCTTTAATTTACAGACCTTGACGTCACCGTGAAGATCAAACTCAGGAGAACGTTTCTAACAGAGCAGCTGAAGCTGCTCAACTGTTCAGAGATCCACAGACAGCCAAGTTGACTCCTGTAAGTACAGATTAGTTGAAGGAAACAGAAATTTCAGATTATTTTACGTGAAACATGAAGGAAATGCTCAAAAGGAGGGGAGGTGAGGAGGAGGTGATGTGCAGCAGGTGCACAGAGACAAAGATGGTGCTGATGGTCAGTGTGTCGGTGTTTGACTGCGTCTCTTCAGGTGTCAGCAGTGCATCAGGGCTGGGTGTGGATGGAGAGACAACAGCTGCTCCTGGGCCTCCGAACAAGAGCAGGAAGTAAAACTGAACCTTTTCTACCCTTCATCTTTTCAAACTGAGCCACTCAGACCTGACAGAAACACCTGCTTCACTCAGAAACACCAACAGCTGCTCCACGAAGATGCAGTCGACTCATTTTAGAGTTCTTCTTATAGGAAGAGTTTTTCCTTACATTTAGTTTTCTTAATATTTCCTGAACTCCGAGCTGCTCTTTGGTCCATCTGCTGTTCTTCTGTTTGGTAAAGCTCAAAGGTTTCATTCAGTTTTTGGGTGTTGGTGTATGATATAAAAATATGTTTTATAAAAATATATTAAGTTGCCTTTATG